TTGGGGACAGGGGGTCTGCACTCCAGGAGTGAAGGCAGGCACAGAGGGTGGGGGCTTGTCCCGAGGAATTTGGGAGGGGGGGTATACCCCAAGGACACGGCCTGTGTCCCCTCACCCCACTGTCCCCATCCTGACAGACCTGTGCAAGAACTGCCACCACCTGATCGCGCGCCACGAGTACACCTTCAGCGTGGTGGACGACTACCAGGTGTGCCCCTTTTCCCCACAACCCCCTTCCTGGCTCCTCTGCCTCTGGAATGCCAGACCCAGCCTTTCACGGGCTGATTCCCACCTGCCCTGGGATGGAGCCTTGAAGGATTCGGAGCTGCATCCCTGTGCCGGGGCTACCTGGAGGCTCCTGGCACTAGTCCGTGCCTTGTGGAGGGAGCTCAGCTCACCTGGCATGGGAATGTGGGTGATGGGAGGAGCCTGTGCCCCCCATTTCTCATTCCTGTCACATTTTCTATGCAGCAAACTGCTGGAAAAAGGGCTCAGGGGAGCCAGTGGGGCTGGAAACGAGATCCGCCAGCTCCGATTGCAGTCGGGGATTGGGTACCAGATCCGGCTCAGGTTTCCCTGTGGGGGAGCAGGGCCGTGGCAGCCCCCCTTTTTCCATCCCCCCCTTTTCCTCCCCCCAGGAATACACCATGCTGTGCCTGCTCTGCGGCCGTGCCGAGGATTCCATCAGCATCCTGCCCGACGACCCTCGCCAGATGACCCCGCTCTTCTGAACCGGTGTGTACCCTGGGATGAGATCCCTGGAACCACGATCCCTGGGGACCACAGAGTCCCTTACGTGATTCTCTCCCCCAGACTTCCAGCCTGGATGCAAGGAACGCCCGACACCGGATGCTCCCGTGTTTCTGGAAGCCCTGTGGCTCTGACCCCGGCTGCAGGGATGGGGTGCAGCACCACAGCCCGAGCCCCCCGTGTGCTGAAGACATAAAGGAGACCCCAAAACAGGGTCTCTGTCACCCCAAAACAGGATCCGAAGGGATTCCCACCCCATCCCTGCCTCAGGAGGCCTCTTGTGTGGGGCAATAAATGTGACACGTGACAGCTCAGTGGTGCAGGTGGGAGTATTTTGGGGGTGGGCTTTACCCCCTGGAGCTGGTGAAGGGTGTTGGGGGCTGATGGGAGGATCAAGGGGGCTTCTCCCATCCCAGGAGCCTATGGAATTCCTCTCTAGTCCTTCCCAGCACTTGAGAGCCCACTGCACTCTCGCAGTGCTCTCCTAAACCCTGCAGAGAAACAGCTTGATTATTTTCCCTCCCTGAGGAGCTGGTTTGGGGTCACTTCTGTGTGCCCTGGGGTGTGTAACTCCGCCCTGCCCTGCCGGGAATTTCATATTCCTGAGGCGGGAAGGAGCAGGGTGTGGGAAATCACTGCCCTGGGGTGAGTGAGGTGCTGCTCTTGGCACCCGGCCCCAGCAACTGCCTCGGGGAACTGGGTGCAACCTGCCTGGCTCCCACCTATCCCTGTGCCACCGTTTCCTGGTCTGGCACCTCGGGGCTGCAGCCTCCTTCCTGCTCCCCCAACAGCCCCTAAAACCCACATGGCTGTGGGTATGTTCCCAAGAGCCTCGTGGGTCTGGGTATGTTCCCAAAAACCACACGGATCTGGGCGCGCTCCCTCCGGCTCGTTTAGCGGCTCCAGCCCTCCACCCCCATCGAGCCCCCTCCCCACGGTTTCGGAGGGGGCTGTCACCCTGCGGAGAGCTGGGGCCACCCCAGGGTGACCTCGGAGCTGGGATCACATCGGAGCCGGGACCGTGCCAGAGCCGGGGTTACTTGGCCAGCTTGAGGAGGCGCTGGATGTCGGGCTCCAGCTGGGCCGTGGGCACGCGGGGGCTGTAGCGCCGGAACGGCTCCCCCTCGGGCCCCACCAGGAACTTCTCGAAATTCCAGGAGATGTCGGAGCGCCGCACGGGGCTCCAGGTGACGAAGCGGGGCTCGGCCATCAGGTGTGCAGCCTCGTCGGCTGGCGCGGGCAGGTGAGCCTTGAGGTAGGCGAACACGGGGTGGGTGTCGCTGCCGTTCACCTGGCACTTCTGGAACAGGGTGAAGTTGGGCTCGAAGCCGCCCCCGGGCCGCACGTGCTTCAGGGTGTTGAGGATCTCCTCGTTGGTGCCGTTCTCCTGCGGCGGGGAAGGGGAAATCCGGGAGCTGTGTGTTTCCCAGCCGTCCACACCTCCCCCCCCCCCCCGGCCTCGTAGCCCACGAGACTTACCTGGTAGCCAAACTGGTTACAGGGGAAGCCCAGCACGACCAGCCGCCGAGGGTAGCGGGCTTGGAGCTGGTTGAGCTGGGTGTAATCCCGCACCGTGGTGCCTCAGAGCGACGCCACGTTCTCGATCAGGACCACGCGGCCCCGGAAAACGCCGAAATCCACCTTTTCCCCCTGCAGGGAGGTGGCGCTCAGGTCGTAGAAGGACTTGGCGATGGGGACGGTCATGGCTGCGGGCTCG